AATCCACATTTGTGGAATCAATTATGAGATCTGAAGATGCCTCGAGTCAAAGCATCATCATCACTATTATTATTAACAATTATCAAAATCGACACTAGATCATTGTCAAAGAAGCGGAAAAGGATAGTGCAATAAAATGTCACACATGGAGCAAGAGATTCAAAGCACAACATGAATAGGCGCAAAGAATAAAGTTAGAAGAGATAAAAATATAAGTGGGGGATATCAGACGAGAGAACAAGATCTCTTGGAGGAATTATCTTTTGATTTAAATTTCGGTGGTGGGGTATGCTTGTTTATTTGGCGAACCAAATCTTCAAAAACCTGTCGAAAAAACAATAGGCATTAATAAATATACTCTTTTAAAATAAGTCAGCAAACTAAGAAACAAACTCACATCAGAAACATGGATATTCGATTTGGCACTGCACTCCATGAATGTGCATTTCCATTTTTGAGCAAAATTTTGACCCTCATCCTTTCCAACTGCCCTTTCGTCTTCTAAATCACATTTATTTCCAACTAGGACGATCGGAACGTTGTCAGTATCCTTTACACGGATGATGTGCTCGCGAAGGTCTTCTAGGTCGTAAAGAGAGGGAAGAGATGTAATAGAGTAGGTCAAAACAAATCCTTGACCATTTTTCATATAGAGATCCCGCATTGCAGTGAACTGTTCCTATAAGTAATGGTAATAAATACATATGAAATAAAACATACAGTCCCAGCAGTATCCAAAACTTCAAGGATGCATTGTTGATTGTCAATTTCTACCTTCTTACGATAACTATCCTCAATTGTTGGATCATATTTTTCAACGAAAATTCCTTGTACAAATTGTACGGTTAGTGCACTTTTGCCTACGCCACCACTGCCAAGGACAACGAGCTTGTACTCTCTCATCTTAAAGCTCTAAGGCGAAGGTCTAAAGTTTGAAGCGCGCGCAGAGTGCATGAGTGTGCAAAACGCAACTCTACTAATATAAATTAATTAATTTTGTAATTTAAAGTGCTAATTATTTTCTTCTCAAAATCTAACTTGAGCTTGGTCCGCTTTTTAACATGACATTGCAGAGTTAATGTAGTCATGTGTTCGATGCGCATGTGGTTGATATTTATTGCAATTCCTTATTGTATCCCATATTTCTCTTTTATTTATTCGATGTTTTAATAATGCATACAATCCGGAATTTCAAGTAAGCTATGACACTAATCCATTTAATTTTTTTACTCCACTCTCATAATATATGCACAATATTTTTATTCAAATTTGAACACGTGGATGTATAAAATAATCTTAAAACCGTTTTTAGAGAATTTATAATAAACTTATATAAGTAAAAATGATTTGAGACTATTACATTGAGTCTTAATCTAGTCTCTTACCATAGTGGCTAACTTAGAATAGTGTTGAAGATATCCGAAAATATTTGAGAAATAATTATGTCCATTCTCACTAAATCGTTCTTGACTAACCTTGCCTTTCTTATAATCATGATTAGGGCTCTAGAGAGCCTGTTTAAAAATAATTTAAAAAGTAACTTTACTATTATATCTTAGAAACTTTTAATTATGATATTCGCTGTTCAGCATTGATATGGATTAATAACCAGAAATAAATTTCTCTTTGTCTGAAACCCTTTTCCAACAATACAAAAGATTTCTTCTCTGGTCAATAATAAATTCCTACACGAATTATTACATGTTCTAAACAATAATAGCAAAATGACTTTTTACTTGGTCTGTTCCAACACTTCAAGAAATAATGTTTGAATAGTGACAGAGACCAGGATACACATTGTGACTTCTGCCGTTTCCATGTTAATAGGTATAACTAATCCCCGGTTCTTACTTTCGTCTATTTCTGCTTTCTTGTTGTATTCTCGTGGATTTTCACATTGAAACATATTTAACCCATTTGGTTTTGGACATTTTAAAGGCTGAAACATCTTTAGGGTTTAGTAGCAACATTCTTGGTGAAATCCGAATTATAATTAACTTAGGGAATCGACCACAACTGCAATATGTTTTGTGTCAATCTCGACGCCTTCCAGATTCACCTATAACTAGCTTTTAAGTCCAAATATAATCAGATAAATCATACACAATCATTTTGTTCAATTCTGAAAGTATTTCTTTTTACACAAAATAATGTACAGCTTTTAGCATGTCGCAACCAAATTTGTGAGAAAATTCGCTGAACCAAAAACATTCACCATTAATTGGGCTGATGCTCGGGTTTCAACAGAAGCACTCGGTTCAACAAATAGATTCAGAATTGTCCCACCACAAAATCCAGCTGTAATCATAGAAAGTGCTGCAATAATTTTGTTAAGCTGCGGCTTCGAGGCACCGATAATTAGGTCAAAACGTAGTTTATCTTTCTCTCCCTTCTCCACAGGCAATCGTTCGCATTTGAGAATATCAAAATTAAGAACTGGAGCTCCTGAAACGTTTCCGAAAAGATCTATCACAGCTGCTGTAATAGCTCGTCGATGAGCGTGTACAATTTCCTCGGGGGTAACACTGAGTAACTTAGATTCACTAAATTCGAGGGCTACTTGTGTCTCCGCATGAATATACACAGTCTTAACGGCCTCTTCCTGTTGCCGATACCGACGATTATTGATGAGATGCAGCCCATGACGACGAGTTTGTCGACCTACCAAAGGAGTGCGTTCTGTTTCAGATTTTTTCAACATATTTGCAGCTTCGCTAGATGCCATAAGGGATCTGAAAAAATAAGAAATTGTTGATCGATGTCATAGTACAAGTTAGCGACCACTCAAATATCTAATTTCAGCAAAGTTAAACAAATTGTGCTACGCGTTTCAATTATTTGTTTCAATAATCATATTACACACAATAATAAAACTCGAACAATATATGAGAAGAGGCATTCTTTTTACTGAAAATAAATATAAACTCGAAGTAGTTTAGCAAATGGATACTTACAAATTAGGCAATGCGACGGAGTTCACATAATGGTAAAACAATTAATAATAAAATAATGAAGGATGGCTTAATTTGGAGACGAAAAATGCTCGATAGATCAGTCACAAAACAACTTTTTCCTAAATTCTTGCAGCAGGAAGATTTAAAAGGACAATAGTCATTGAAAATAAACAAGTTTATAGGACGAACTAAGACATATAGTCACTTGGCTTCCAAACCAAATAAATGGATTTTTAATCAACTCTCCTATTTGTCAAATCACACCCCAGTAAATGCCCCGGCAAATCAATCTTGAGAGCGAATAAAGGAAAAAACAATGAAAGAAATACATGGGTTCACATTTAATTAATTAGATTACAAGAGAGATCAAACCAGGGGAACAGATGACTAATACACGCAGCTACCGGGGTCAGAACATACGTGTAAGGGCATACTAAGACGTCATGAAATATTTTTCCAAACGCTGCAATAAATATGTATAGCTAGACAGAAAATATATAACCGGTATGATTTTGAATTTAAAAATAAAATGCATTATCCTATAACAACTAACCCACTTGTAGCTAAGCTGACGAATTGAAGCTTACTTGTCTACAAAAATGTAAATCAAAACACTAATTAGTTTATAATAGTCTATTTGAAACCCGCACAGAGCCATATTGTTAAGAATTGAGTTTCCGATCAGTGAATACCAATCTTAACCGCCTTTTTTGACAGTTAAAATTCACTTTATTCGATTCGTGCGTTTGGCACAAAAGATAAAAAATGGCTTTAGTAAAATGGACACGTAAGGACTAATAGCGACCAACAAGAGAAAGCAAAGTGAAATAGAAGAATGGATCTCGTGAAAGAAAACCAGGAGCTTTCACTCGTCAGTTAGTGACAGAGGAAAGGGCGAAATAGAAGCCCTGGTTGGGTAAATAAGAAGTAAACAATTCCTATCGATTTTAATGAGTGAGACGTATACATATTTATAAAAATATGCAAAATAATAAACAACTAGTCAAACAAAATATTTGAACACTTAGCCAAATCTAAAAGCACAACACACAGCCAAAATGCAAACAAAAAACCAATTTTTGGGGGGGAATGAAGATAAAAGCTTTATTATTATTTTTAATTATCGGCATAACAGAAAATGACAGGCAATATTCGACTTGTTAAGAAGCTGATGATGACAGATGTAATAAAAAGTGCATGCAAGGGAGACAGTTTAGACAAATGACAAATTAAAACTGAAGCACAATTATGAATTTAGTAGGCGCGGAAGAAGATTAAAAAGCAAGAAAAGGGAAAAAACATTGAATGGCTTTGAATGCTAACAAGCAAATGCTAACTCGGATAAGACATGCATGGAAAGATGACTGATTATCGATTAATGAGTGAGATGATGATTGGAGTCAGAGTTAGAATGATGATTATGAAGCGTGAGGCGCAGATTATTTAAATTGTGAATTGATTGTCGTTAAAGCGAGGAAGCGAATTTGCGTGAATGGACACGTAGCACAAACACAATGTCACTGCTCAAAGCCGACCAATTATATCTCCGCAACCGGGAGGCCATAGCGTTGGGCTAGGCTGATTGGTTCACCGGATGCTGCACCACCAGAGCGACGTGGTGGCAAGACGGGAGCTGCGGCTGCAGTACCAGTAACGGAGGCTCGAGAGACGGCCATCCCGACGGCTTCGTCGTAACCGGGTGGTGGATGCTCACCACCAACAGCAGCTGTAACGGAAGTGATCTGTCGGGACTGTGGTGGCTCAGTGGCAGCGTTGAGGGCGTCCAAAGCAGCAGCAACCTAGAAATATGAAATGACGGTCAAAAACACAAGAGAAGGGATGAAAGTGTTACTTTTGTGAGAGCAAAAAACGGCTTTTGCTTCTATATTAGGAAAAACCTGGTAGACAATATCTTAGATACCCAAAAAATGAAGACCAAGTATTAAAAAATAAGTTTAGAATAGAGTTGAATGAAATAACTCGCAAATAGGATTTTGGAAAGACCTAAGTACCAATACACTATCATTAGCACACATGGAAGAGAATAGCAGTCAGAAGGGATTCTTTATTTCCAGCAACTACAAACATGTTATCAGTAATAGCTAAAAGGGAATCAACAATGACATACCTAAATAACATCATCACTTCAGGCTACCATTTTGAATCTAATAAACTGTATGATTGAAAATACCATTTCCTAAGAATGGCCTGTTGATCTGCTGACTTTTAGCTTGCGCAGTTTCGTTTTCCGATGACGAGTGAAACATGNACCCCCCCCCCCCCCCCCCCCCCCCCCCCCCACCCACAACTCACAGACCATACAGTGTGACTCATACAATTTTGAAACAAAAATTCACAATAATTACTTTGGGTAAACCTAAATCCTAATCCCGTATTTAATGGTAAGGGGCTTAATCTGTATCTACAATGATCGTATCACAAAATCAAAGAAGTGTTCCAGACGCCACACGCAATAAGTAATCTTAAGTGTGGAATCTGGTATTTTCGAAGTCGAAATTGCTGTTATCGTTGGATTTACATTGATTAGAATCGATTGCATGTCCCCGACTTGAATGATATATACAACTGCTCAAAAATGACGTATAAACAATTTAGCAAATGAATGACTCATCACTCGATCGTCACCATTCGACATCAATGAGCCATACCAACAACCTTGAAATCTTGAAAATTAAGTTAAAAGCTCATACTGATGAAATTCGGGAATGCCTAACTAATTACCACCGCAAACAAATTTAAGGATGGTTCAATTTGACATTATTAGTCCTCCATCCACCCACTTGAAATACAAAAATGACAAACAGACAGACCTGATCGCGTTCTTGTTGGTGGTCAGATGGCGGGTCAGGTAGCACAAAAGGTCCATTTTCATCAGGAACAGCATTGACAGGTGCAGACTGGAGAGGTGTGACGCTAGCGGCGTTGGTGGTTGCCGTGGGAAGAGGGACATTAGCAGCGGCGGTTACTTGATTTGGAGCTCCAGTGAGCATCATCTGAGGCTGTTGTGGCTGTTGTTGTTGACCTCCCAGTTGTTGTTGTTGGCCGGCTGGTTGTGCCAGAGATTGGAAGTAGTTGGATGGTTGCATCATCATTTGCTAGGGAAAGAAAATAAATATGGTGAATGAAGGGGAAAAACTTACCAGGGGAATCACTGGGAATCCCAACTCACTTGTTGATTAGGATCCTGTTGCACCATGACTTGTCCGGGGGCCATCATCATTTGATTGCCTATAAGTGATGAAAAGAAACTTACTAACTAGGAGAAATGGGAGCGCGTTTAAGCACTTCAAAAAGCCAGGTCATAACAATTCGATTCATACATGCTATTGTGATTGTTATGTACACTACTACTCCGACCATTCAGACTGCGAATATTAATTTACTCACCTTGCATCATACCTTGGGCTCCGAACTCCATGGGGAAGTTGGGTTGGTTAGGCATCATTGTGTTTTGCTGACCCATAGTCATGCCATTGTAGCGCATTCCTTTACCAGTAGCCATCATGGTTTGATAACCATAGGGAGTGCCATTGTAAGAGGGTTGAGGGTTACGCATTAGTGTTCCACCAACAACACGGCCTAAAATGGTAGAAATCAGTCATTCATTGGACGGGAGGAATCGCAGCTAGAGCATGGAACACAATGGTGTGGTAACAATATTTTACTAAATTCCGAATTCTCTACCCCTATACTTGATACGACTCTCTCCAAGTTCCTCATGTGTACTTTATGCGATCCCAGGATCCAACTTCAACGGAAGTTCATTGATCTCTATGTGTGTGTGTGTGTTGACTACTTCCCAGACAGACCTTTTTTCCGAAACGTGCATTTGCTTTCTCTGCTTTTCCTCATTTAAGCAGAATTAGTAAACATACAATGCGCTTCAGTCACCCACACAGGGACTACGCCTACACATCCAAATTTAAGCCCTATCCATCTAATCTGTCGTATTATTATAGTGAAGAGTAGTAGTGACTGAGAAGAGGTGGGGGAGGGGGGGGGAGGGAGGGGGCGAACACAAGATCACCCTAGCTACACCTCATCTTCCATAAAGGTCCGTGGAGAAAGAGGCTCCGAAAGTCCCATAAAGCTTCTAGTAGTTATAAGATCAACTTAATTGGTCTTATTCATTTTACTTAAATCAATAGAAATAATGAGTGATTGATATTATTCACTTGAATGAGGATGAAGCATTCGAGTTTAGAGGAAATTTAACATGCGTAGATGGAGCAAATATTCTGATATGCCAAAGTTTACTATTTTATATCAGTTAAATTTGTCATTCATTAATCGTGCTTTTTATTGAATGCAAATAAAAAGTTTTTTCCAAGTATTGCATTTTGCTACTTTTACCATCCCAACACAATGAATTGGTTAGTTTAAATTGGCATTATTCTGGGAAAGGTGAGTCACTCGGATTTGGGCAAGATGTGGATTCCCAGGATTTCTCAAATATCCCGCACATTTGGTTTCTCATGAATTTTATAAGTGAAATCTGAACAACAAAATCGCCTCCAATAATCTTTCTAAAGCCTGCTCAATGCTGTTGCCTCCTCGATATAGAATCCACAGTAAATATGGAAATCGATAATTTAACAGATAATATCGACCAATTATTTTCATAAATGTAGATTAAAAAAATAACTTTTAAAATAATCCAAGGCATGCGTCTAGATTCTCCAGTCTATCTCAACTGTTTTGCCTCTGCTCTGAGATGATAATAAGTCGACAGTGAGCCGTAGAATTCAGCACGGAAATGGGTAAAAGATAGACTCACTCTCCAAATGTGAGAACGTCTTGATAAAAACACGGTTAGAAATACTTAAAAATATGATTGAAAGTTCAGAGTAGAAATTAAAGAAAACAATTCATCCACCCCCCCCCCCCCCCTCCAGGTGGATATTTTGATGCAATAAAGAGACGGGCGCAAAGTTCGAAACGAATCGTAGGTTACATGTTTACATAGCAAGAAAATTTTAAAATGCCCGCAGGAAAAGTTATTCTACCTAAAACGTTTCTTTTTATAAAATGCGTTTTAATTTTGCAAGGCTGAACTATGTCGATTACCTAATTAGCATAATGGCCAACGAATACACTATAATCTCCTCCCTGAACAGTGTGATGGATATAACTTATTCAAATTCACTTGGACACGAGGTTCTGGAACAAACTTACCAGCCACCTAACTGGAAGGCGGACATAGACTTCTATCATAGCCTTATAGATTCGAAAGTTCTGATAAATGGAATTAAAGGGAATTGAAACAACGTACCTCTTGAAAATATAGAACTTATTCAAAGAGAAAGTTCTAGGTAGTACATTTGTAATACCAAAGAGGTAACAAAAATTTCATGTATTATGAATCAGCATGTTGGCACAGCTAATCAAAAGAAGCTTAGCCAATCAAATGAAAGCACATTTGACTCGATTAGCCAATAGGGGTGAGTCATCAGAGTGGGGGCAATTTGGGCTTTGCATTTGCAGTCTATAAATTACAGATATTTTAAAGGATATTTAAGAACATTTAATTGGGGTTATTTAGAGTTCAAAATCAAATCCACACCGAGGAGAGAAGTGAAAGCCCAGAACTTTAAATTGAAAAACTATATTCATGGGGAAAAACGAGATTGTGAATTCCTTCCAATGACTGTAGGCCTTGGTTATTCAGTGACAAATCAAGTGAGAGGTGAGAGCGGAGAAATGGGCAATCACCCAGCTTTCTGACGGTTCATTAGAGCATCACGTTATACAGCCAAACCGAGTAGGGGGACAGCCGGATGGACAAGCCGCCTTTCACACAAATTTCTGCATGTGCTTTTGAGGTCAACCATAAATCTACGTTTTACTAGCAGTCTACACAGGAGATTATTTGTTCACGTGTGCTTTCTTACCAACTTTTTTTTCTATTAAACATAGCACAACAGAAGCACAAAATAAGACAATGTATCAAAATTTTAGAACTCGAGAAAGTATGTCAGTAAACTAAATAGAGCAGAAAAATGGGAATACACTAAGAACGCGTGAATGATAACACATTTTCGCTTGAGACATTCTATGAGAAAAAAAATAATAAAAGCATAACAGGGAAATAATGGTTCAACGGCGAAGAAGTTAAGGCAGCGGATGAAAAACGGGGCTCTGCCAACTAAGTACACTACCGTCTTTTCAGTGCCTCATTTCACAGTTATAACTTCTGTTAGTTCTGAGGTGTGCGATAGACTTACCTCCACGTGGTGCACCCTGGGCAACGTATACTCATACGGCAAAAAAGTCTATAAATCGGCAGTTGACTTCTCACTTCAAACTATCATCACCTCACTCTATGCCATATTCGACTATTTTCACAGTACGCCCCTCACCTTTGTTCTACCTTTGTGTTTATCTCTTACATCTTTGAAACACTCTTCCCCCCCTCTCGACTTTTCAATTTGATGTTTCTTCCCCTCTGTGAAGCCTGAATTCAACTAAAGGGCTAATGATAACCATCAAGACGCCTGCCATTTGAAATAAATAAATAAATAAATAACTTCTGTTAGTTCTCGTATTGAGGCAATCTAATTGTAATATTCTTACCTATTACTAAGCATTGTCTTTTATCAGTAGCAAACGTTACGTAGTCTTCGAAACTCTACAGTTTTGTAAGGCTATAAACCCACGAAATGCAGATTTATCCAAGACATCGACACAATTCCCAATTAAGGAAAATAATTTTTAAACAATGTATCTCCATTTATTGAGCGTCCTATTTCCTTCTGCCAAATATAAATCTCTCTAGACCTGGTCTTTTAAACAGTGGAGATGAATTGATGAGTTTCAAATCATTTATGCTACTTACATGTAACAGAGAAATGGTACACACTTGACCGTTAAGTTGCCTCATAAATGCATGATAAAATCTATAACTCACCGGAAGGAATAACAACATCTGGCAGATCCAGCGTTCCATCACCCCTAATTCCCATAGTTCCATCAGAGAATTTGTGAGTAGCAAAAGGTGGACGATGAATGCTAGCAGTGTGCTCAGCGAAGGGATCATCAGCGACTTCTTTGCCACCAATATAATGCCACAAGTTTGCAGAAAAGAGTTTGCTGTTGCCGTAGCTTCCAGAGCCCGGTCCTCCCACGCTCATACCTCCACCAGATCCATTGGTCATGCAATGATGACGATAGGCATGACGGCGACGGCAAATCACAATGATACCGACGAGAAAGAGAATTGGTACCAGAAGACCAAAAGCCAAGGCGACGATGAAGGTGATTCCAAAGTACTGAGCCCAAGTGTAGGTATTGGATGTGGACATCGCTGGTTTGGGTTCGAGTTCTGTGAAATAGAAGAGAGGAGGGGTAGAATAGAGCAGAACAGAAAGTGTACATGGCTACCAGAGTATTAGGGGGGGGGGGGGGGGGGGGGGGGAGGGAGAGGTGCACGTATACTTTTGAACGCGAATTCAACAAAGGATGAGTACTTTACAGAATTTTCAAGTCCCCAAACACGAAATGGACTATAGAGCTCATTCCTTATCTTCTTCAAATTTTATTCGAGGTGAAGATTGTGTAAATTATAAGAGCAATTGTTTAAAAACTGTCAAAATTTTCCTCCATCAACTTCTTCCTTCAACAGCCTGCTCTAGTTCTAGCAAAATAAAATTACTTGGACTAGTAAAATAATAGAATTTTAATAAAAGAAAGGGGCTATTTTAACAATAACCACAGGGACAATTTATGAAAGTGTTTTCCAAGGAAACGGAACCACCTTGGTGGGGGAACCAAACCCTACTGCTCACTATTATTGATCAGACTTAGCCGCTGTGAATGGCCATTCCATTTGCTGTGAATGGATACCGAAAGAGGAATTGAAACCGTGACCTACACCACATCTGGCGAGATATGATGATGAAGGGACCACCGAAGCATGAGATTGCTTTAATGCAACAGTGAGGCGCACTAATTGCTCATAATACACACTGAAAATTCTAACAAAAACAAAGGGATTCTAAGAAAATATACTGTCTGCATTGTAATATACGAAGGTCAGCACAAAAATCCCAGAGGAGCACACTATTCAAGCCATCGCATAAGCTATTGTACCAACTTTTTCTACAACTGTCTCTCCTGCGTATAGTTAACGCACGCAGCAACTAGACTGATAACTGACCAAGCAGTGTGGAGTGATATTACCGCAATTTCAGAGTTTTTGTAATTTTTCGACAAAAGCATATTGAGTTCAATTCAAACCGAAATCATAAAATGCTTACATCGCAAATTACAAAATCACTACACATCATTTATAGATATGAGAGGGAGAGTAAGAACCACGAAAGCTTGATTTAATTAACCTATTTACTTTGAGCCGCTTAACTCGTTTCCAACTCAACTGGACTCATTTCCTATCTGCCTGTCCTCTGAGGCATATTACGCGATTATTCTGAACCCAATTCACAAAGCCTTATTTTAGCTAGGAAAGTGCAAGGGAGATAAACACTTTTTGCCAAGATTATTGTATTTCAAAAGCCATGAATTGAAGATAATTTTAATAATAATGTAAAAACCAAGTTAACTGGATAAGCCGAAAATTTAGTCGATGACTGTGCTTTTAATGCGCCGCGGGGTAAACTTCATCCATTATTAATAAAAAGTAAGCAATTGACTCACCACTGCAAGACACATTGTAGCTTGTGATATTGTCGACACATATTTTCGCATCCGGGAATCCAGCTGGAATAACTCCTTCAAGAATAATCTACAAGGAGAAAGTTTCAAATTACGTCTCATTTCAAATATGATAGTGAATCAGTTAACTATCATCACTACCCCTACTGAACTAAATTGAGACCAACATACACAAAACTGTGGGAAGGGTAATTAAGAAATCGATTATCCATCAGACAGTCTCAAACGGAAAAAAGGGGAGAAAGAGAAGGGGAAGGAGACTGGTTTGAAGAAGTACCTGAAAATCACTCCTAGTAGAAGTGGAAGGAAGGTAGACTTTGACATTATGCCAGCCCTGTGTAGAATCAGTGGCATTCCACAACTCATCATTAGAACTAATAGACGCATAAGAGAAATTACCATAGAAGAATAGAGGTCAACAAACCAGACACTTGTAGGTTTGCCAGTTTTAGGATGAAACACTTGGATACAATCTCTAAAGTTAGAGAATGAGGGTATAAAAATGATGGGCTAAGTACTTTAAAAGACTAAGAAATAAAGAGTTCGAAAGGCGAGAGAGAATGAGCAAACAATCTCACTGAATCCACTATAACAAAAGTTATCTTCTTATTAGATAGACCAAAAGCAGGCACACGATTACGGCAGTATTAAGAAGTCCAATCAATCTATTATATGTTCTATGGGATTGACCATGCTTAGGGTATGTGAATTTACGCTTGCAGGAAATTTACATTTACTAAAAAGCTAGAAATCGGTAGAATCTCACTGCCTTGCCGATGTTGACATGTCTATCATAATCCAAGTACAAATAAAACAGTTGTCAGACAACAATCCCCCCCCCCCCCACCCCGGAGAATACTCTGACTGCACTTAGTTAAAGTTAAATCTATATTCACCAGACCCGGCAAAGGCGTCTACTTGGCAATTTGTACTCTAACTGCTATAGACATCCCCTTCAGGAAGGATCCTCTCTACCACCACCACATCTTCCCGCAAACCACCTCAATGGTTTTCTGAATTTTCTCTCTTCCCGATTTCTCATTAAAAAATACCTGCTGAAGGGGAGAAAGTTCACCAAAATCGATAAATGTGGGAACGAAAAACAAAGAAAGGGAGAACTACAACAACGACAGTCAAAATGGGGCAAATTAATTCAGGAAGCGTGTTGGAAATATGGAGCACAAAACGACGACCATTTATAGACAGAAACACACCCAAAAAATAGAAAGTTCTAGTGATGTGGAGGAACAAAGTCGCTACCAATAGAGAAGGAAAGAAATAAAATAGAGTTTACTTTTAAAATAAAACGCTAATTGTACTAATATAGATTAACAAAACTCCACTAATAAATGATGTACCTGGAAATCACTCTTGACAGTGGAATTCAAGTCAATAGCTACATTTTGCCAACCCGAAGTGGAACCAGTGGCATTCCAGAGATCATCAGTGGAACTAATTGAATAATTAAGCCAATTACAAAAAGTCTACACTCCTACCAGATGCTTGTAAGCTTTCCAGTCAATGGGTGATGAACTTGGACACAACGACTGAAGAGGAAATACGGGGAGAATGAGTTTAAATAAAGAAAAAAAAGAGAAAAAAGAAAAGAAAGCAGATGAAAAGAGAGTTCAAACGAGCCCAAAATTAACATCTAAATTCCAATAAAAGAGCTTGCCCTGACAATAGCTCCAAAACAACTTAAGGTAAACTAATTAAAACACAGCACCTAAAATTTCAATGAGTACCTGAAAATCCGACTTTGCAGAGGAGCTAAGATCAACTCTGCCAGTTTTCCAGCCAGGCACTGAGCCATTATCTTTCCAGAGTTCATCATTGAAGCTAATGGAAAATCAAGAGTAGTGTTTGAAACACCCAAAAAATTACCCACCAATGACTCGATGCTTTCCCGGTTATTGGATCGGTAATTTCGACACAACGGCTGTGGAAATATGAGAGAAATAGGTCAAGAGCTTAAAAGTCATAAAAGAAGAGGGAAGAGGAAATGGAGGAAGAAATACTTTCTTGAGGACGAAAAAAACAAGCAAACCAATCTTTTCCAGAGATAATCAGTTTTACAACCCATAGCGATGATCTTAGCAATCTTTTCCCCAGAAATCAAAGATGTCGCACATGTCAAATCCTTCTCCCACCCCCCCCNCCCCCCCCCCCCCCCCCCCCCCCCCCCCCTCCTCGTTCCACCAACCAGTTCAACGTCTCACCTGAAAATCTGACCCCGAGACATCTGATAAATGAACAGAGGTCTTTGCCCAGGAAGAATTAAGAGTTTTTACACTTGTTGAGGACCAGAGTTGAGATGGTTTGCTGTGTGGAAATAATTAACTAGAGAAAGCCTATCATTACCAAATTGTATGAAGTTCGCCAGTTTCGGGATCAGGAATCTGCTTACAATTACTGAAACAGACAAATGGAAAAGATAAGAGGATCGGACATAAAGAAAGAAGTGAACGAAGAGGAAAGGGAATATCGGAAACAAGTACCAATCACACAAAGACAAATCGTTCCTCTGTGCAACAGTAAGAACCCACCCCTACCCGCGCATGATCTGCGATGAAATAGGGCAAAATGAGAATGATTTTGCGACTGCATAGGAGGTTTTCAATAGAATTCTAGGAAAACGAAACCACTTAAGACATCCCAATCCACCCGAAACTAACGAAACGAATAGAAAAAGGCAGTTGGAAGATGTCAATTGTTTCAAGTATAAAAATGAGGAAAATTATTTGAACAAAAATCGAACGTAACACACGTTTGAATGTAAAACATAGTGATTTTATTATCCAATAACACAATTTTACAAACTCTATATAACTTCTGCTCAACTTGATTATAACGGGAATAAGAGCATTAATGAAATGATTGTGCTAAATTGATATTGAAAAAGAGTATAATTGGATCGATATCAGTCTGAAAGATCACAGAATTTGAAGTATGAGGATTTGAAAGCTAATGTTTACTTAAAATAACAATAAATGGATTTTCTTAAAGTCTTCCCGAACATTTTGCCACCCTTGTATTGAGCCAGTCGAATCCCATATATATTCGTTGGAGCTTATTAGAAATCAGTCAAATGTTGCCCGAAAACCCACTAAAAACTTGAAGCTTTCCTGTTTTTGGAAGAACAACCTGGACACTTTCACTACAGGGAGAAATTCGGGAGTCAGATCGTTATAGCCAGAAACGCAAAAATTGAAGAGTGATAGAAAAGAGAAGCAGGGAAAAGATAGAGGGTAGTTTCTCAAGCACCCGAGTTCGAGTCTCACCTGAAAATCCGAGGTGATATTATTACCTAAATTGATAATGACGCTCGTCCAGTTTGAATTTGGATTTTGAGTATTAGATAATGACAATAGCTCCTGAGGTTTGCTAGAGATTTCCATTTTAAAATTCAAATTAGATTTTACCATATAACATGGATTTCACCAGTATCAGCGTCACGAACATTCTTACAATTACTAAAAGGGGAAGGGAAATGCTCCAATAAATAATTATTAAATAAAAACGAAAAGAAAAAGGAAGAAAAAAGAAAAAGAGCGGATAGAAAAATCAACCAAACAAACGTGAAGAGCCCATAAAAAAACTTTTATTAATCTTAATCAATATGATACAATTTTTAACCAATCAGATTATCGAATACCATTATTTTGCCTAGGCATGTACCTGAAAATCATTTATCGGTGCAGAGCCATTGGAATTAAGGCTAACAACTGCTTTCAACCACGATGATGGAGTTTCAACCGAATTTTTCGTAGACCAGAGCTTTTCCGGTTCGCTAAACGAGAATTCTCTTACAAAAGAGGTATTTACCAATAGTTAATCTTTCTGCCAGTTTCTGAATTCACAAACTCACGGCAGGATCTAGACACATTTAAATAATAATTAAAAGTGAAAAGAGTAAAAGCTTGGCGCAAAAAATGGGAAAAATAGTAGAGCGGAAAGAAGAAGAGGAGAGAAAGCTATAAAAAAGCCAGAAACAGAGATCTATCAATTGTAAACAAGCATTAACCAAACAAACGTCACTCATTATTGTAGACTGATACCTGAAAATCACTCAACGTCACAGATCCATTGGAATTCAAGCTAACTACAGCTTTCGTCCACGATGGATTCGAATTACTTGTGCTGTTCACTGACCAAAGGGTTTCTGGTTCACTAAATATGGAGCAAGGTAAATATCTCCAAATAGGTATTACCAATGTTGGATCTTTTTACCAGTCTTTTGGTTCACAAATTCACTACAAGATCTGTGAAAAAGGAATGAGACAGTTAATGGGACTTCCAGAGAAGGAGAAGAGCAAAGAAAGAATTTGAAAAAAAGAAGACAGAAAGAGAGGAAGCAAACAGCCCATCTCAACTGATTTTTTAGATGTCACTTTAAAGCCTTAATATAGTCATGTTCTTGAAATTTCACTCAGTACAAGATAAATAATAAAATAAATGATGTAAAGATATACTAAGAAGAAGCAATGAAGTTGAAATTGCCATTAAAAGACTGGAGGCTAAATGAAGGTAAAGATTGAACTTTCACTGAGACACTTCCAAAACCAACAAAGTTACCCACCTAACTCATTCTATCAAAAATTTGAAGTGGTCTTAACCCTTTCACGTCCTTGGAACAGTATAGTCCACTTTCAAAATATGCTCCATCAGCATTGGACTTGTAACAGAAGGCGCTATTGCCGTTTGAAACACGTTCAATACGTCTATAGTCTTCGCCTGAAACCACCAAAGCTCAGCACGTCAGCATCACTTTGCCGACGTGCTACACGCGTGACTGCAGTTGGATACAATTTTCGAAAATAAGTACTAGATCGAACAAATGGCATGGAGCACAGATATGTCTGTGAAAGAAAAAAAATGTAAAGAAATAGGAAAATTCGGGCAGAAAGTGTTATGGCAGCAAATCTTAGCACCAGTGACGAAATACAATCACTGCCCGCTTATAAAATGTTAGTACTTCACAGCAAAACCCTGATTACTAAAACTATCTCGAATCAAATTCACCTGAAAGTCACTCCTCGTAAAAGTTCCTGATTTATCCAAACTAATTATAGCCTTTCTCCAAGCCGGTACATCAGAATCACTGCTGTTCGCCGACCAAAGTGTTTCTGGAATGCTTAAAGGAGATTTGATTAACATTACACCCAAACACGCATTACCAATGCTGGAACTTGACGCCAGTTTTCGGATCCGTAAATTCACTACAAGATCTGCAGAAATAACGAGTTGAGGTGATCGGAAGGGGTTCAAAAGAAGGCAAACGAAAGGAGGATAAGGAAGCTGGCAAAAAGAGAGTTAAAAAAGGAGTTCAAGCAGACCATTTCGCTACAAAGTACCTGGAAATCTGAGGGACCGACTTCTAAATTAACCACGGCATTGGACCACCGAGATGTTATTTCACGTGAATTATTTGTAGCCCAGATCGTTTTTGGAGTACTAAACCGATTTAGCTAGAAAGTTGAAACATTACCAATGCTGAATACGTTCTCCAGTTTTCAGATTCATGAACTCGCTACATGATCTGTTAAGAATAAGCATACAATAAGGAAGAATTTAGGACAGAAAGTAAGCACCAATTAAGGAAAGTTGATAGAAAGAAAGGAGTAGGCAGATCAAACACACTAGTTATTAAGATAGAAGAAACTTATAGTTAACCCCAACCCCACTGACCCAAAACGTTGACAATTACCTGAAAATCACTGGAATTTGAGGAAACCAAGTCAACTCTAGCTATCTTCCAACCATCAGTAGAAACAGTTATATTCCAGAGATCATCGTTGAAACTAATCGAGAAATTTGTGTATTAGGCCTAAAGCTGGATTGAACCCACCAAACATTGGTTGTCTTTCCACTGACTGGATCTGGGATTTGCACGCAACGGCTGGATATAAATAGGAGATGTGGATATAGATATGTTGGAGAAAGAAGAAAAATAAAGCAGAAAGGGTGGATAGGGAAAAAAATGAAAAAAAGATGCTCGCAAGCACAATCGAACCCGCACTACCTTTAGGAACTCATTTTCACTGTTTGTCATGATTTCTTGAAATTTCATAACTATGGAAGAATATCAAAGATTCGATCTAATCTTTGCACTAACTAGCGAAGTTCAATTAGTAAGGAGATAAGGGATTTCTACAAACCGAAAATTTAAGAAGTGGACTCAATCTAACACAATTGTGCTACTTTGACAAGAAGAGCAAAGATAACGACATTTCAGACCACTTTCTTAAATTGTAAAGGTAGATAACTTCATAAGGTAAGTATTAAAAACGTAGATTCGACATATTAAAAGTGATATTATTTTGGCTCAAATACCAAATAAACTTCCATGTTAAAATATTTTTATGTATTTACTACGTTCGCTGTTACTATTTCATTCATGCCTCGAAAATCATAATAAATGGCATTCAAGCCAAGGCTACAGCACACCTGAAAATCACTCTTATTTGTGGAAGTCAGGTCCACTTTGACACTTCGCCAGTCAGTTGTTGAATCAGTGGTATTCCACAAATCTTCATTGAAACTAGAGGGATTTTTCAGTTGAATTTACGTGATTAAAGAACCCACCAAAAACTTGTAGGCTTCCCCGTCTTTGGATTTTCAACTTGAACGCAATCACTAAATTAATGTTAAGAATATGTATTTAAACTTAGAAAGGGAGACTTCAAAAAATTGAAGAAAGAAATAAGATGTTGAGGCAGAGAGGAAGAAAGCATACAAACAGGTTGCCATTGGTTAAATTCTCCTGATATGAAATTGACACAAATAACCCAAGGCTACTTGACGTCTTAAAGTGCCCTGTTAAGTAAAGAAAGCTCCACTAAAAAACTCGTATTAAGTACCTGAAAATCACCCTTGTTGATAGATCCTAGCTCAACTGCAGCCTTTTGCCAACCAGATGTGGAGCCAGTAGTATTCCAAACATCCTCATTGAAGCTAATTCAACGACTTTTTACAATAATTTAAAATGAACAAACCATACGCTTGTTGCCTTACCACCCAGTGGGTTGACAACCTCCATGCAGTTACTAAATTTGAAAATTAAGTAGTGAGTTGAAAGAAAACGAAACTGCCAAGGAAGAAATAGGAGGGAGAGTGTGTATGTGTGTAGAAAAGACAGAGGGAACCATACAAACACCTATCTACTAATTCCCAACCTACCCCTTTAATATACCTGGAAATCGCTTCTTGATGTGGCAGACAAGTCAACTTTCACAGATTTCCAACCCGAAGAAGCGCCAGTAGCATTCCAGAGCTCGTCATTGAAACTAATGGAATGAAACATTGCCTTGGAACTAAAGAAGAAAGTGACCTACCAAAGGCTAGATGATCTACCGGTTTTAGGATCAGGAACGTTGACACATCGACTAATTAAATACAAAAAAATGGTAGAAAACTTCAGATGAAGAAGAGTTTGCAGAATCAAAGTAAACGAAAAGAAGTGAGAGAAAAGTCATAGTTCAGCAAAGCCACTACACTGAGCCCCCCCCCCCCCCCCCGCCCTCCACCAAGCATATTAAACCCATTTCTAAGTAGTCTCCGATCCTGAAACATTACAGAATGGAATAAAAGTAAAACAGAAAGCTGAACATGGAGAGAGGCAAAGTAAGAGATACATTTTCAACAAGTTGATAACTCTCCAAGGCTGGCAGGAAGTCTATCAACACCACAAAATAACAATGAAGCAACAATGGCAAATTTGAAAGAGGGAAAGATATTACTAAGGATGATATTCGTCCAATAGTCCATCCAATACTTTAAAATTCCTTAAAACATTTTTTATAAATTAAACAAAGATTGGCTTTAAGAATGAACTGAGTTCACTATGCTTTGAGCTTAATACCTGAAAATCGCTTTTGGCAACAGAAGTAGTAAGATCGATCCTAATCGTCTGCCAACCCATAATCGATTCGGTACTGTTCCAGATTGCTTTAGTGAAGCTACGGGAAAGAGAAGCATGAACCTAGATCAAATAAGCGACCCACCAATGGCTTGATGTCTGCCCAGTAATTGGATGCGTAACTTGTACACAATCACTGAATGAATCGAAAGGAGAAAAGTTATTAGGATAAGAAAGTTAGTAGAAGAAGAAGACAGGCGGAAGAGGGACAGAGAAAAAAATTCCCCAAACAGACAATAAAACCTCGGACTTAGAACTGCATACTATCATTAATAAGTACCTGAAAATCACTTTTTAACGCGCTTTCATCTGAATCCAATTCAATTATAGCTTTGGACCACTTCGAACCCCCATTTGATGCGTTAGTGGACCACAGATTTTTCGGTACACTAAATCATAGCGCGTATGAGACAACAAAAATGGAGGAAGTTACCAGTAGGGCACTTTCTGAAGAGTCTCGGGAACAACAAGTTCAATACATGATCTGCCAACAAATAGGTAAACGAGCTGATTTACAACAGGGAAAAAAGCGAGGAAGAAAAAAGGGAAGTATAAGGAGAAGGAACCTTTCGCAAGCAATCATTGCAATCTAGATGACCCATGCACCCAAATTATCCGCTCCCCCACTCCCCTCCCCTCCTACTAATTTCAACAAATACCTGAAAATCTGCTTTGAGAGAAGTTTCATCAGTTTCCAAATTAACAATCGCTTTAAGCCATTTCGAGACGTCCCTTGATGAACTCATAGACCAGAGAGTTTTTGGTTCACTAAATTATCACATCCAAATATCTAAATTCAAAGAATTACCAATAAGGAACCCTCTTCCCTGTCTTGGGAACAATAAGCTCAATACAAGATCTGAAAAAATATAAATACATTAACCTTAAAAAATGGGGAAAAATATTCGAAAATGGAAAGAAATTTAGGCAAAGGCATGTTTAGTGAGGCAAAGCCAATCATACGCAAAAAGCTGCACTACCAAACCAATTTAAGTTTCCAACTTAAGGACACACGGTAAATGCCTGGAAAGCACTTTCAGAGAGAGAGAGAGAGAGGGCACAAAAGTCAAATTTAACACGCTTCCATTCCGACTGAAACTAATTGAAAACCTCTACAAACTTCCGACTGAGCAACACAATAGTCGGAGAATAGGTAAATTAAATGCAATCGCCAAACTTCACTTATTTCAAACGTGTTTTCGAGTTAAGGTTGATTGTCGCTTTTAAAAAATGCCATAGAACCACCAATTGAACAATTTGAAGACAGAAGAGTGTCAGGCTCACGAGTTTAAGAGTATTTAGGGTTCGAATTCATAACGCTATCAATACTTATTTCTTTTTTTCTGTTTTATAGTAACAAACTCAATACGGAACCTAAAGAAAAGGAACAAATCCAAACGTCGGAATTGAGAAAAGTCAAAGACGGAAATTGGTGCATAAAGCAAAATATAAATTGACCATCATATATACTACTAAAAACGCGATAAGTACCTGAAAATCACTTGTCGGAATGGTGTTATTGTAGTCCAGCCTGACTATCGCCTTCAACCAAGTATGTGAAACGAGCGTGGAACTATTGGAGGACCAGAGGACATAAGGTTCACTAGTTTCGATTGAAGGTAAGTTAAACACATTATTACCAGTATTTTATTGTCTTCCCAAGTTCAGAAACAACAATATCTTTGCAAGACCTATAGAAAATATTAATAATCACGAGGCTTAAGAGGTGGAGATCTCGAAGACAGTGAAAAGTAGAAGGTAAAGATAGAAAGAGACAAGCGAAGCATGTATATGCCCAATTATTCTAAGTACCAGAATGAACTAGAATTTAACATGACCACACGAGTATGATGTACTTTTCCAATTACCAACTATTAAACTCGAGTACACAAAATATACCTGAAAATCACTTTGAGTCGACATCAAATCGACCTTAACTGCTTGCCAACCCGATGTGGGACCAGTAGTATTCCAGAGATCATCGTTAGAACTAATTTTGGAAATCGGATTAGTTGCCTAAGAGAAATCCCCAACCCACCAAAAACTTGAAGGTTTTCCAGAAATTGGATGGACAACTTGAACACAGCGACTAGATTAAAAGAATAAGAGCACATGCGTGAGAAAGGATTATTTGAGAAAAGTAGCGTGGAGAATAAGATAAAATAAAGTAAGAAGAGCAATTAAAAGCGACCAATCAAACTTCGAAACAATTTCTGAATTTAGACCACGTTTACCCCAATTAATTATAGACATCAACCGGAAAATTTCTAGGAACAATAAGAACTGATTGGGACACAAATACGGATGACCAAAAATATACTTAATGACACTAAAGCCCGATTTTCTGAGGAGCAAATATTACCTGGAAGTCACTTTGTGCAACAGATCCATCAGATACCAAATCAACAACGACTTTGGACCAACTTGAATTAACGATTTGCGTCGAATTCATAAACCAGAGAGTTCTAGGTTCACTAAATAGAATATTATGAGGCCTCAAAAGAAAATTAATTACCAATAGCGGATCATTTTATTGGTGAGTGGGTCGGGAATGTCACGACAAAAGCTGCGAATAAATTGAAATCGTTTAAGGAGGGGAGGGGGGGGGGGGGGGGGGGGGGGGGGAGTGAGCAAAAAAAGAGGAGGGTAAGAAAAAGGAACTGGAAAGACAGAGAGAAGGCAGTCAAGCAAGCATGAAATGTATCCACTCAATATAACGTGATAAAGATTAGGATGTGTTCATGTCATCCAAATTCGTGTTTCCCTAATATTATTATGGAATACAGGTTGCAAAACACAGTCTTCTCCAAAGCAGGAGTGATAGATGGAACATAAGACAAGCTTTTTTTCTAATTTTTCCTACATCGATAAAACCGCTACCAGAATTGCTAGTAGAGATTGATACCTGAAAATCACTTGGCGCAGAATCGAGATTAATTATAGCTTTAGAGAACTTTGAAGACACCTCGTTTGTAGAATTTTTTTCCCAGAGAGTTTTGGGTTCGCTAGAGGTAACACATATGACTAAAATCCTTGAGAAAATCAAGATTACCATATACGATGCATCTTTCTTGTAAGAGGATCCGGAATTTCACGACAGAATCTATGGAGTAAAGCAGGATTTATCGAGAGCGGATGGTTGTGGAAAGAAGAGAGAGTGAGAGGAGAGAAGATTGACAGTAAATAGATTCATACACTCATAAACATTCATTAACCACATAGTCTGTCCATAGTAACCGATGTCTCCAGACTAGATATGGGATAAACAATTTATGATGGAAAGATCAAGAGGAAGGTAGAAAGGCTAAGCTGATTTAAAGCATCAAGAGAATGAGCCATGAACAGGAGAAGCAGAAGCTAAGAAAGGAATTCGAATGAGACAGCACTTTACCCCATATTGACATTTTCCCTCTCAAAGAACTGGGCGATTTAACATGAATAAGTACCTGAAAGTCGCTCTGTACAGCAGTCTTGCCAGATTCCAGGCTTATAATAGCTTTAGACCACGATGAATTCACCTGATTTGAGGAATTTTTCACCCACAAAATCTCAGGATCACTACAATAATTAAATCACTTTAACGTGAGAAAATAATCGTTTACCATATACGATGAGTTTTCCTTGTGATATAATCATAAATTTCATGACAGGATCTGCAAAAATAAAATGAAAACTGAGGAAACTACTTCATAACTGGAAGCGAAAAACACAACTCAAGGAATGGAAAGAGATTGATAGTTAACACAGGCAAACAATACTCGAAGCTGATAAACCCATTCTCAATTTCATTGAAACAGAAGCGCTTGTAGCATCTGAAAGCATATAATGCCAGCTAGTAGGTACATTACTCTACCAGAGTGGTCTTCACTAGCTAAAGATTCTAATCCAAAAAGAATTGTCTAAATTTACGACTAGTTTCCGGATCTGGTGGCTGATAGCAGTTACTATTATATATTGGCAAAAAGAATTCCTTATGAGAACAAGAATGGAATGTTGAAGAGATGAGCAAAAAATGAAGGGTAGAACCACCAGAAAAAGAGATCAACCCCTCCTATTGCTCACCTGAAAATCAGTAGGTGAACTTGAATCTAATTCCACTGAGGACTTCAGCCACCCCGATTTGAAATCCCCGCTCTTCCAAAGAACCTTTGGTTTACTAGAGGTCTCGTATTAATAAAAAATCGTTGACAAATTACCAATATTTGACCAGATCTCCCGTATCTGGATCGACTATATTCTTACAGTTACTGAAAAGATCAGACGTGAGATGTTGAAGCAACGTTAAAGAAAAAGATTTCGAATGATTGGAAGGGAAAAAAGACAACGAGTGGTGAAAAGTGGCCAAACAGACAAATCTCTGTTTTCCCCTACAGCCTTACCTGGAAATCGCTAGTTGAATTGGACTCTAAACTTGCTGAAGCTCCACGCCAAGCCGAGCTAATTTCCTGAGACTTCCATAGAACAGCTGGTTTACTAGATGGGTATCGGTGTAAATTCACAGAGTTTTAAATTACCAATATTTCACAGTATCCCCAGTTACCGGATCAAAGATTGAATGACAATTACTAGAAGAGAGTAAAATGTCAACATCAAAAATAGGAGGCGGTAAAAATAACGCTCAATGGGAAGAAAGAAGTAGAAAGGATGAAGGAAGTAAACAATCAAACTTCAATTCAATGGGGCATTATACTGGAGCATATGAGGCCATTAAGTACCAATTCTCACCTGAAAATCGGATGTAGAGTCACCACTTAAATCGATAGAAACTTTAGACCACTCAATAGTAGTGTTATTTGATGACCACAACTTCATCGGCTTGCTATAAACTCTCGTGATTGATTATTGGAAATCGATAAATTACCAAACAAGTTGAACATCACCCGTTTCAGGATCGAAAAAGTTTTTGCAGTTACTAAAAGGATAGACAATACCCGATTACAAAAAAATTGAGAGAAAAAAGGACGAGAAGGAATTTCAATAAGAGAGGATAGATAGAAAGATAGGACTACACTGCAAGCATTCAAGCATGATGATGATGATGATTAATTTGAGCTTCGATCGATAGTCGGTTTCGTTCCCAAATAGTTGCTTAAAGAGTCTCAAGTTAGATGTCAAGATGATGATTACCAATATTTGATCATATAGAATCATGAACAACGTAAGATTTACTGGAAGGAAAAATACCAGATTTGAAGAAGACGGAAATAAAAATATTTGAAGAAAGGAGAAAGAATGAAGAAATATGCTTGACACAATGACAAACCAGGAGAACGGCCAAATTACTTCTAACATCACTTTGAAACTCCATCATAAACTAATTACTCATTCATTTCTAATCTCACCTGGAAATCTGACGTTGTATTAGAGTCTAATTCAATAGAAGTCTTCATCCACTTTGATTTAGAAAAGTCGTTCTCGTTTGAGCTCCATAAACGAAAAGGCTCACTTAATGAGAATCTTATTACAAAACAAAATTAGAAAATTACCAAACACGATGCACATAACGGGTTTCGGGATCGACTATATTCTTGCAATTACTAAAGACAACAGAAAATCAAATCGTGCAAAATAAAACAGTCAGAAACTAATTTGACAAAAAAAGAAATAAAGAGAAGGAAAGAAGCAGGACAATCTTGCACCTATAACTACCGAAATTCAGCCTATCTAACCCAAATGAACCCATGATATCGATTTAAGGTACCTTGAAATCGGCTGAAGTATCACTTCCAAGATCTATTCGAGTCGTACTCCAGGATAAAGACGAAGAGTTTAAAACCGAGGCATTCCACAAAGAAACCGGTTCACTGCAAAATTCGTGAAATTCAACCAGATCTTACCAGACCTCAAATTCCCGACCTGTTCTGGCATCTAGAATTTGCTGACAGTTTCTATAGAAACAGAAGCGAAATTAGGACTTAAAGAGGAAAGCTCAAAGGATGAAGAATATACAAGAGTTAGGAGATAAGAAAGCATGTCCCAGTCAGTCACTAAACAGAGAGGATCTATATCTACCGACTACTTTTGCTTCTAGAATACCTTGAAATCACTTGAATCACTTGAAACGAGATCTACGAGAGTGGTGCTCCACGATGAAGATGAAGACTTTGAAGATGTAGAATTCCACAGTGGAAGAGGACGACTATAAATTTACACTATTTAAAGCCAATTAAGCATTACCAGACTTCAAACTCCTCCCCCGTTAAAGCGTCAATTCTCTTTCGGCAATTTCTACAAAAATTGAAGCCCATAAAGGATTCGAATAAAGAAAGCAAGAGTGGAAATAATGAAGAAATGGGAAACAGTAAGGAAGACGGCAAGCAATCTCAACTAAATTCCACAAACCTACTGCCAGTACCTATACATATAAATTACCTTGAAATCTGCTGAGGCTTCGCTCCCCAAATCTACTCGAACAGTATTCCAGGCTGAACCTGATTTAGAAGAATTCCAAAGCGAGACAGGCCGACTAGATAAGAGTGAATTCAAAACTCCACCGCCTTACCAAACTTCAAATTGTTCACCGGTAAAAGCGTCTTGTATTTTCTGACAATTTCTACAAATCGGTGTTTCATGAGGCGGAATTTCGATAAAATCAGGAAAAATAAAAACTGAAGAGAAGAAAGAATTAAATGATTCACAGACACAACAACTCGTCATAGGAAAACTTAATAGATTTAGAGCCTGGGCAGAATACATATACAAGTAGCCTGGCCTCAACACAACTCAACCAACTGATGATGATGATAGTTAAGAGCTAAAATAAGCATAGTTCATCTCAACAAGATTCTTTTTAACCCCAACTAAGTGCTGCAAAACACCTAACTTCGCTACAACGAGCCAACATAACACCACTTTCTAGTCTACTTAAATGTCACAAGGAAGTTACTACCTTGAAGTCTGTCGAAGAATCGGTTTGCAATTGAACCCGAGCAGTATTCCACATCGAAGTAGAAGTATTCGTCAATTCTGAAGAATTCCAAAGCCTTAATGGCCGACTATGGATTACACTTAGGTGAGTCAACTTGACCTTACCAAACTTCAAATTCTTCTCCTGTTATGGCTACCAATTTTTGACAATTACTGTAAGG